GTAATTACCTGCCGCGGCAAATATGGAGGCGGGTCGTGCGCTCGACGCGATATCGAAAATATCGGGTATAGAACTGTATACCGGGGGACGCGATATTCACTCGGGGCACTGTTCAACCCTTCGTGGACGAGGAACCGTTTAAGGTAGCCAAAGTGTTCGCCGACCGAAGCTGAATAATTTCTAATAAAAAAACTCTCCAGTCCAAAGAATTGCAAGTACCAAAGTGATATTTCCGAACGTGGCGATATTCCTGTTCAAAGGGATAATTGACTCGAGTTCACCTGCGGATCGCGTCAGCGTAACCGAAGATGCTCGAGGTCGGGATCCCCGGTAGGAAGCATGAAATCCGAGAAAGAGAGAGAGGGAGAGGTCTCGCTTCCCTCTTCGCTGCGAACAGCCAGAGAGGACCTGTTCCGAGCGATTGAGCTGCACTTCCTTCGGGGTGGCCGGCCGTCCGCTTTGTTCCCGTCGGTAAATCATCGGACGTTCCGGGCAACGGGATTTCGGTGCCCTGCTGGTTAACTGATCGTGGCGATACCTTTGGGAACCGATTTCAGGCTATTTCCAGGTTACGACGAGATTGATCGACGGATGTTCCAACGCCAGGCTAGTTTGCGCAAGACATCCGTGCTACTGTTTGCGCACGCGAGTGTAATGGCTGGAAGAACATCGTTGTCGTCGCCGTTGCTCGATTGCCGGTGAGCTCGGCGAGCGAGGAACAAAGACACGCGTGGACTCGTTATTCCGCGGCGCGTGACAAGCTCTCGACGGAGTTTACTTTAGCCGGGTGCCGCCGTGAAATTCCAGGTATCGGTATTCCCGTGGTTCGCGACGCGATCCACGACGCGATCCACGACGAGCCTCCTCACGGACGAGGATCACGTCCCGATCGTTCTCCCCGCGTCGCTACGACCAAGACACACCGACCAGACAGAGAGCGTTCCGCTCGTTCGTTCGACGCGATTCATTTCGACCAATTACTCCGTTGACTCTGCTCGTTGAAAAATCGGGCGCAGTGATGATCAAAGGTGCCCCTTACGCCGGGGCGGGGCGAAACGGGGCCAAGCATTATCATAAAAGGTCCGCGGTCCACGCATGTAATTTGAAGTAATTTGGCAATTGCATATAATTGGCGAGGATGCCTTTTACTCGGGGATATCCGCGCCGCGGCCATGCATCCGAGTTAAGTAGGGCTAATCACTGGTTCGCCTCTCTCCGAAACATGAAGAGCCTGCCTTCTAGCGCCGAAATACCGAGGCCGGGGTTCGTACCGGCGCACAGGGGCACGGGATGGGACCGGGGCCAGAGCGCAGCCTCTAAAACACATATATACCTGGACCCTCGGGAACGCCGGGACCCAGAGGGACCCACCTACTTCTCGGAAATAAGGGCCTCCGACGTCCCTATTGTTCTTGCTAATTGCCACCCCGCGCAACCACCCTGCGCCTTTGCTCGGCCCGCTGCGCGTTGCGCGTTGCGCGTTGCGCGTTGCGCGTTGTCTGCGGCCCCTCTTCTTTAATGGGCAGGTACTCCGGGGATGATGGTTACAGGTCCCAACGCAAATACCGGGTTTCGCTACTCGTACCCTTTGTGGGCCCAAGATTGCCCGAAACCCGGAGATACCGTTCACCGAGGACAATTTCAACGTTCCTTGCCGCGTTCGATCAGGAGAAATCTCTGGAGCGACGCGCAACAAGTGTTTGCTACAGTTTTATTTGTCGCGCGGCCTCGCGGTTTCCTCGACTCCCCGAGATTTTCGCCTCGCGAGCACACTTTGTCCCGATTTCATTGCGATACCGCGTGATTCACGGCTGTTCGCGCGTTCCCCGCTTCAGCTATAAATTTCTCGGATCGCGGCTCGAGATACAAGCGATAAAATTAGTAGCCGCCGATGGCGAGGCGAATGAAATCGCCGGTTAAAACTTTCTCTCGTTTAATTGACTCCCCGCACCGATCCCTGTAATCGCGCGTACAAAGCCGGCTTCCGTCATGTTCGGCGATCGTATCGTTGATTTACAGCATCGATCCACACCCGTGCGCCGTCGGTGCGATACAGATTTATCCTCCGGCTGATTTATCTTTGTTACAGCGGTGATACGGCGACCGGTGTCCGGTAGCTCCAGATCGCGAATCGAAGGGGAAGATAAGTGGAGCAGCGTAGCGACAATCACTGAAACCCGAGCGATTTTTCCCCCTTTTCCCTCCGCCAAAGAGGTTCGAAGGAACCTCGTAAGCTTTTACGAGCCAATAACCGCGGAATTTTAGCCGAGTTTTCGAAATCCTTCCAACTTTCGGGACAACAAACACATAAAGCCCGGCGTATTGATATTTCCGTCGACGAATTCCCGGGAAAATACCACGCGTGGTTCGGGTACCGACGCGAAAGGGATTTTCCTATATCGTTTCGTTGGGTTTGAAGAGGGTTCTTCGCAACGGTAGGGTTGTGACGCAACGGTAGCCGATAATCAGTAGTAAAAGCGCATCCGGCGAACGTTGCGTCACCTGGAGAATCGGCGGGCCTCGGGCCCCGGGCCCCGGGCCCCGGGCGAAATTGATTCGGCTCGTGTCACCGTCAATAAAGAACTTAACTGGCCCTTCTTCGTCTCCGCGGAATCCGGTCGGGCTCCCTGCGCTCGGGGGAAGAGCAAAGGACTGCGGCGAGCACGAAAAGCAAAAGTTTTATTGAGCCCGGGTTCCCGGCCTGCGATCCGGCCGTAGGCAGCCGGGGAAGGGAGAAAAACCGGCCCATTATGCGGGTGCACTTGTCGTCCGTTCGGCGAAACGCTTTGCATCGTTGCGTCCACCGTAGAAATTGCTTCGTCCTGCTGCCCCGCTGGTTCGTATTTTATGCTCGTGCACGCGCTCTAACGTTCCATATCCCGGACGAAATGTGTTCACGATAGAATATGGTCGTTTTAACTGGTTGTCCGAGTGATTTCTTGCATCCTAAACAGCCATGAGCGGCCCATATGAGCGTACGGTTGAAACGAGGCGAGTGAATTAAGGAGGAATAAAAACGATCCGGAACGATTTATCCGAGCAATATTCAAATGAAGCTGGATGGCACTCCGAGTGGAACAAGCGGAAGGTATCGTTCGGCTGGAAGGAAACGGGTTTCGTGACGAGCCCTCGCCGAAACTCGATAAGCGAATCCCGCGATTGACTTTAATAACCATCACCGTGATGCTGACACGGTGATTTCGATCTACCCGCGCGACCGGCCTCTCGACGCGAAAACGCTTGGTAAGGAAATTAATTTCGTTCTTGTTACAGCGCGTGGTGGCGGGGCAAAGAAACCGAGGAATTCCCTATCGGGAGTAGCTCCTTTTCCAATTCTCCTTTTTTCGTTGCGCGGCAATTTCGCTGCGAATTCTCGGCAGGAGAAGAAGTTTAATCGGTGCCTTGTTCTTGGCCAGTCATCCTCCTTAAAAAGGAGAAAGGGAGGACGCCTTGGGGCCCATTAAACGGATGCACTGTTGTCTTTCACGATTATATATAACGCCGCCGTCTCGCGCGCTCGGACGCAACTTGTTCAGCCGTTCGAGCGCGCCTTGATAAACCGAGACGGCCGAAATATTCACCGCGGCAATGAAACCTATCCGAGACCTCCTGGAGAGCGACACGGGGCCGTGTTTCGCAGCGAGTCAATGAAGAATCGACTAAATTCGTGCGGTATCCGGTCCCCCGGTTTAATGGGGATCATTAGTTAGAGCTTTTATCGGACGTCTGTCCACCGGGCCCGATCCGAGCGCGCTCTATCCCTAATGAAATATCTCCGTCCGGCAAAGAATTGGTATTCATATCGAATTTAACGAGCCAATTAGCTCGCTCTCTTCTATCCACGACAATTAGTAAAACGTCCGTCTCGTTGGTCCCACCGAGCGCGTGTTCATTAAGGGATCCGTTCGAGTGACTTCGCAACCCGATCACCGTGGAAGTTTCTCTTTCAATTAGAGAATTCTCTTGAAACGTATACGCCGCTCGTATAGTTCCGGGGCCCCGGTTGGCTCCAGCTGTTACTCCGAAATGTGTTTGCTCGATCGGAGATACGCGATGGGACCCAATAAAAGGCCCGGCGAAATTTGTTCGCGATCCAATCCCGACGATCGCGCATCCCCGGCGTAACCTCCTAGCCGAGCATCGATCCGACGCGAGCCGCGTATTCGAATGCCGTGGCCGGCGGCACGCTTGGCCAAAGTTTCTCACGAATCTCTCGAGGAACTCTGCC